TCTCTTTTGTCAATGCAATTAATCTTCGGACTTACATATCTTCTTAAAAATCTATTATTTATTCACGCTGTCCAAGTTCAATTTTATTTAAACGCTGAAACTCAATTTGAATCGAAAGAGGGACTGTATTCGATGGAAAGACGTCGCGTCGCGCCGGTTTGCATGCGTAGCCGCCCTTGTGCCATGGGCCGCAGGATTGTATGGAAGCCAGCTGCGAGTCGGCGAAGCGCGACGGACTGAGGCCGCGTGTACTCGGAAACGTTGTAAAAATAATTATTAAAGCCGTTACCACGCCGTACTACTTGTTCGTCCGTCTAACACGTGTACCGGCGACGCCATGGCCGGCAAGGGTTCGTTGTGTGCGCTTCTGGAAGTCGCGACCGCGCCGATACTTTTCGTCGATATAATAGAGCCATTAATCGGGTCGTTTCTAAAAGCGTTCGAAAAGCAGTTTGGTCTCGTTGTGAGAAAGACAGGCAGATTGCCAAGGATACAAATACAACGAAGAACAATATAATAATCGTTATTGCGAATCCTTGTTTCGTTATTACGTGTCTCTTTCGAGTCTTTTGTTGGTGTAAGAAATTCTCTATATTTGAACCGTTCGGTTACTCGGTCATTACTTTCGTTGGACAATTTAGACACGAGGAATAACCGCAGATTTCCCGTTGGCGTTAATTACGGCCGGTTTTCCACGACGAGTATCATTATTCGCGGAAACTTCAACGCATCGTCGCTTTTTGCACAGCACGCTTGGCAACCTGTCTTTCCATCCGACGTATCTACCATTTTTAACCGCCGCACTTCTAATGGGTGCAACGGTTTTTTCGTCCGTCCCGTCGCCAGCCATCTGTCGCACAGTGAAAATGGTTTTGATGAAATTAAAGTCAGCTGATCGAAAAACCAGCGTCTAAACGTCGGCATGATCTTTCCAGCTACATCGAGGAACGACACAACGAGCGACAGTCGGTCAATCCTAAACTGGAATTTCTCGTAATCGCTAAACGCGATCCTTTTAGTCTCGAAATACAACAGGTATGGTTAAGCTTTAAATCGTAAGATATTGACCAATTACAGTTGAATACGAGAAGAAAGATTGGTCAATTTCTTACGGCTTAAGGCTTAAAGCCTAAAGGCCTTTTACGCCTTAAAATTTCATTGTAAACGTGAGGCTTATAGGTATCACGTAGGCGTTTTTCAACTGAATGTTAACGGGGAACGGAAAGGACTTCCCTCTGAATGACAAGCGCAAAAATTTTTTGCGAATGACAGAACTCGTGGTCCCTCCGTTTAACAATTCTATCAAGCAAACAATTCTATCTCCACCGCAATGCGTGTGACACGCGCGCAATGGATACGCGGTACGAAGAAAGGAAATATAGACTACCGGAATGCCACCAAAGTGACGGCGGTTCCCTTTATTGACGAATCGAAGGATACATGTACGTGGAACACGAAAATTCGTGATTTTTTAACGGTGTTTCCCTATCCTTTTTTCCACGATTTTCATTCATAAAAGAAGCGCTGAGAAAATAAAGCGCGTTCTCCGAAATTGATGAATAATGCTCTCAATAATTTAAGAATTTTAAGCACGACCTTATGTGTGAATACCTCAAATACGATAAAGAAAGTGAAGAACGGTCAAATTTATCTGAAATATCTGAAATAAATTAATTTAATATAAGATTATATAACGTATTTTTTGAAAACATCCAAATTTGACCGTTCTTGACTTTCTTTATCGTATATTTAAAGTTTTCTCGATAATTTTTATTGCGCATTTTCTAGAGATGCCGCTTTTAAATTTCGAACACTATACAGTATCAAAAGGATCATCGCGTGTGACACTGCAGATGCCATTTTAAGTCACATCGCGGAGCACGAGGGAGAAAAATTAATCCAAGATCTTCAATAAAATATTTCTACGATTGCATGAATGAACGTTTGCACAAGTACGTGACACTTCGTGTAATACATCCTCGTCCCGTAAAATAAGGAACCAGGCACTATAAGTCCGTCTACCATCTAGCTCGGCAATTAGAAGCACGCGTTTCGACCGGCAGCTGCCAGATCGCGGCGATTTGACGATAAGGTAATTAAAATATTTCGTAAACACGTTTCCTCGTACTGGCAGATGCACAGCTCCCGATAAGAGAAAATGTACGCTACTACGCTTCGTCATATCGTATTGTTCCTCTGCCGTCGAATTTCTGGAGAACGCCACAGGCATACATTGCGGATATTTGGAAAGGTTGGAAGATGGCTGGGGGGGGGGGGAGGGGGGGGAGTATCATGGAATTGTTGCTTCTATAATACTTTCGATTATTTATTATTATTTTAAATTACCGCAAATTGGGAGTCTCGTGATTTTCAGAAGATGCGCGTAGCAGATGTGTGCCGCGCTAAGAAGCGGGCTGACATTCACAACGTTTTCTCTGGGGGCAAATGCTTGATGTCGTTGAAACTTAAATAAATATAAGCACCGGCTGCCACCAGGCTGCCTCCTTGCTTTCTCGATGCAGCGTAATTTATAAGGGCTGTTTCTTAAAGGACTGTTTACGTTGCGAACCATGGAGGCATTCGAAACTCCTGTTCTGTTATAACAACGAGAATTAGTGGGACAAATGAAAGATTAGAGGAGTAAATGAGAGGTCAGGGCTTAAATTGTCTTTTCCTTACTGATTTCTCTATATGTGTGCGATTTTCCGTATGGAGATGCACACCGAAAGAAAAGCGAGCGAGAAAGACGCCGGTGAATTGTTCGAACGAGGAAGAGAAAGAGGGAAAAGATTTCTTGGCTTCGACGATTAATTACGCTCTCATTCCCGCCCTCTCAACGATGCATCGTCGATATTGACATTTGCCTTGCCTCCTTTTCACCCTGCTCATCTCTCTCTTTCTCTCCTCCTTCCTCCTCTCTTTCTCTCTCTCTCTCTCTCTCTCTCTCGCGTTCTCTCTGTTTTCCTCCCGCACGAGAGAAAGCCGCGCGGGCGGGAGAAAAGGCCCGAGAGGGAACACAGATATATACACATAGATTTTCTTCGCTAGAGGCGGGATGGGGTGGAATCGTGGAGGGCCTCCGCCGCCCCTATCTTTCGAGCGTGTGCTTATGATGCACCCGAGCATTTTTTCCTCGTTGCCTTACGAAGAGGCAGGTAGGTTGGTAGGTAAGGCAGTCAGGTTGCTAGGAATGCGCATATAAGGGAATTAGACCATAATCGCCCACGCGTGTGTACGTGTATGTGTATACGTGCTTGTGCCGCGAAAGGGGACGTTTTTCCGCGCCTGCCTTTGAATCACAATGTTCACTCGTCACCCTCACCCTCACCCTCACCCTCACCCTCGCAAACCAATCTTGACCTCATCGCATAGCAGATTACGCCTGCCTCTTTGAGTGCGGAAAAGTCGTCAGATATTAATAAACTGTTTTCATTGCTTCTTTGCAAAATGGCGCAAAGTGGCGGTATATAATTATGTAATGAGTAGAACTGCATATTAATAAAAACATGAGTAAAAAAGCAATAATTATGATTTTAATCTAGATAATTAATCAGTTGCGTTCTAAAGTTTAAAAATTTCCGTAAATAAGATATAATAAATTTCTTAATTTATTTCAAACTTAATTGATTTCGTTAGAAAATAAATTGTGGACAAATATCCATTTCGCAGGAGAAAGTTTCTGCAGTTTCCTAATTAGAAATGTACCAGACACCAAATTCGCTATTTCTTCAAGCGTTCGATGTCTAAATGTTGAAAAGTTTTTTACAACCCATCAATCCCTGTGCTATCTAAAAGAACCTTAGATCAGCAATTTCTTAACTTTACTTATATTAATTATTTGTTTTATTACTTAATTACTGCTTAATTAATTTTAAATATTGTGTATACATTTCAATTTTTACATTACATTTTTTGCATTTATTGCATTATCTAAATTTTAATTTCACAATTATTTATTTTGCAAAAACAATTCTGAAAATATATCTGCGCAATTTTTATTTTTGATATTTAATGAGCTACTAATCACGCAATCGTGCAATTAGTATGCATGATTCTTTCTAATAATTTTCTTTTTCTTTTTCATCACTCGAAAATCTTTTCGTTACGTCGATAAAGATGATAAGCGTTTATTTGCAATTACCATATGTTCTCGAAGGAACTTATCATATGTCGGTAAGCACTAACTTTCTGAAGATAATGCAGTTTTCTGCAGGTATTTTATATAATTCGTATGAAATATTTTTATTATTGAAGGGACAATAATTTTTTATGAAGTTGCATGATTTTTATTGCAACATGAAAATGTCATATATACATATATTTTTCTGCAAATTTTGTTATCACAATTTATAAAAAAAGTTTGTGGGTAAAGCAGTAACGTTATCGACGCGGAACGAAGATCTTCTCTATCTTATAGGATGTTGAAAATGGAAAAATATCCAAAAGCTTTGCATTTCTTCTGAACAATAATATTACATAACAATCGCAAAAAAATAATTACAAAGCTTCGTATTTATATACGTCGCGTTTTCATTATTTTAACTTATTTTCACTCAACGTGACATACAAAACATGATTAAAGTATAATGAATTAAATTTTTCAGAAACGTTATTTGCACAAAATGTATTATTAATACAAATAATACTTGAAAAGGATAAAGAAATCGAATTGAAAAAAATAAAAGAAACGTTGACGGGGATAAGTGGCGAGATTAGGTCAACGATCTGTGTCAGCCGAATTCAGTGCATCTGTGCCTTTCTATCCTGGAATAGTTGGAAACACTTTATATACACCGCGCGTCCAGAATCTGATCTAACACGCTCCGGCCATGGAAGTTATACTTTTATTACCGGTTCTATTGAACTTAACGAGGTCAATTGAGGCGATACGGTTGCCTTGATTTTACGATAGCCGAACGCGATGCGGCGATAAACGGCGATCCCGCCGACCATAAATTGTAATCCACCCACGCGTTTAACAGCTCCCTTTTCGTTTTCAGCACCTGTACCACCTGCAGACCGGCGAAGGGGCGTTCCGAGAACGCGGGAGGGGACGAGGCAAAGGCGCCACGAGGGTGAGTAATGCATCTCGATTTAACTCTACTTTCCATAATTCAATTCTTAACTTGACAATATAAATGGCACGTGACGTGACTGATAACAATAGAACCGTATATATTTTAAATAGGATAATAACTTATATATAACGAATGTAATAATTCTCTATACAGAATTATTGTATTCTTTTAACTTCAAAATCCCCTACATAAATCGCGGGGAGTATTATCGTCACGTTGACTTATTCTTGGATATATTCCTGCAGAGCGTAAAGATTCAAGGATAAATCAACCCTCCGAAGCTGACGCCAAAATCTGTAATATACATAGTTACTAACGCTGGGTCTGTAATTTAATTTAAATTAGAGGGTACTAATTAATTTCTGGAAGCCAGAATGATGACGTAGCTTGTATAAAAAAGAACTAATATCAAGTATAAAAATTTTAATAAGGATAATCCAAATTTGCAAATGTAACAAAGAAAATTGAATTGTTTAACGTTTTTGACAGAGATTTATAGTTGAATGGATCCAATGGACCGTCAGACTTTCGGAGACTTAAGCTAATTGCGCGCGAACTGCGTGACGTGGTGAAAAAAAATAACTAGTTTTATTGTCTATCGAAATGGATCGCCGAAAATCGATGACTAGTAATCTATATTCTTAATTGCCTGAGATGCCGGGCCGTAATGTGTTTAACCCTACTTCGATGACGCAGGCCAGCTATCTCTCGGTACCGGCTGTACGGAGTTTCAGAACTGATATTAAGCAAGGTGGTATTGATCGACGCACGTTGCGCCTGTCCGCGTTACTGCACCGCCATGTTTAAAATCCGCTTGTGCCTTAAGCTGCCGTGAGGACTTGAGCACGCATGCGGCGAAATGACGGCGCGAGCAACTTTATTTCATCGTCCTTGGAGCGTTTCATTTTCATTTTTTCGCGGAGGCAAGGATGTCAATGTTCAACTCGATGTTGCCTACAGGGATCAATCATGTAACTTTCCCTAAAACGGGAACGTGAAAAGTGAAAATTTTTTGCATATATATATATATATGTGTGTGTGTGTGTGTGTGTGTGTGTGTGTGTGTGTGTGTGTGTGTACATTCATAACAATTTTCACTTTTCGCATTTTCGCGTGAGGGAAAAAGTTACACGATTAACCTTCTGATCATTACACTGTCAAACTGAATCACAATTCAAAGTCGAGTTGCTTGACATGAGGTCTTCACTTCGATCACGCTTGAGCTCGCCTTCCAATGCGAGAACGAGGTGTAATTTGCTATTGTCTTGTTTCTTTCTCGAATTTTCCTTTTATTTGGTTATTCATTGGGTTTAGTAGCGTGAAGAAATCGGCCCGGCGATCCACGGGGCCTTTTCTTATCTAATCAGTCAACATGTGTGGATAAGATAGCTCCACATTCCTATATTTAATCGCCCTGGTAAAATAAGATAGGGCCAACACTTGTATATATCCACTAAACCCCAAATAAACGCGCCTCTCATTTCTTTTTCCTCCTTCAACGCGTGTTCCTTCTGTTTTCTCTTCAGATTTATTTTCAATGAATCATCATCGCATTGCAACAGTACAGCACAAAACATACACGCGTATATATAAAAGCATATAACTTAAAAAAATGAGAAGGAGATACACAAACGTGATAGCGTCCTGTATAATATAGTAATAAGACGAAGAAAATCCTTGGCTGGCAGAGATCAGCGAGCTGAGGAAGGTTTAAGGGTAAATCCGTGAGACGGTCTTTCGAGGACTCGTTTATTAACGTCCCTGCAACTTGTTGCTGAGCGCGTTGCCATGCCGGCCCTTTTGACCTCTTTCAGGGCATCTCTATTCTCTATCCGCGTCGGTCCTCTTAACGACGCCTGCGGAGGGACGAGTTCCTCGGTCGGATCGATTATCCGTTAGCAATTGAAATTGATTGAAACATCTGTCTTCTTTCTTTTTCGAATTACGTAAAAGGCATCGAACGGGCGAATTCATCTTTTTATATAATAACTCTTAGATCAAACCTTACATCTTCGAACGGCGATTTCGATCGTTTTTAAATTTCAAATACAAAAGAGCGCTCGGATAGCCATTTTGCGAGCAATTCTAAAAAAAAAAAAAAAGAACTAAAGAATTATATATTATTAACTCGACTCTATCCATGCTTAATGTCCTCGCTAGAACGCGCGAGCGCTTTTCGTTCCTTCCGATACATAAACATTTCTCTTGACGGCGCGGGCGGCAGGTATTCTCTTGCCCCACTACCGGCCGAGTTTTACCCCCTCTGTCGTATCAGCCACCTCCAGTTACAATGATGTGTTGGTGAACCATCCCCTCTCTATCGCCGTCGTCGTCGTCGTCGTCGTCGTCGTCGCGGTCGCCGTCGTCGCGGCCGCCGCCG